TCGCCCCCATACCAGCACCAGCACATCTCCTCTATCGACCTTGCGTTCTTCTCGCTCGAGTCGTTCACGCGAAACCAACGTGACGCGTCCCCGTGTACCGTATAAGCCAACCCACCACCAAAAGCCCCCGAATCAGGGAATCGGACGGGGGTAGAGCTGCCCCGCCAGGAAACGCCGAAAGAGAAGCCCCACCATCCCTCCCAAGCACCGAGCAAAGCACGCAGAAGCCCCAGTTTGAGCGATATAACCCCTGATCCCGGGCTGCAAAACATCGAAGCCTCGTTGGCTTAGTGGTAAAGCGCATCACTAGTAATGATGAGATCACTGGTTCGATTCCAGTACGAGGCATCGTGAATCGCGAGGTTCAACTTTTGCTCCCTCACAAGAATAATTTACGCCTTTTCTTTATTCGCTTCCCTTGACGTTGGTCATTGGTTTATTCTTTTTTTCCTTTTTTTTCCCCCCTTTTCAGCCAATTGTGTAGCCTCGGTGACAGGATCGATCGAGTTACCGCGAGCTTGTTCCGGATTGGCCATTTCAAGGTTAAGGTTCCTTTGATACTTACTTTAAATGTCCAGATCCAGGCCAATCACACGCAACAAGGTTGGAATGACGGGCCCAAAGGAGGCACGAAACCCTCGCAGCGTTCCAGTGCACAGCGTTTGAAGAGCATGCGGTAAGTGATATGATTAAACTGCTATATACGCTACGAGCGACGCCCGTCAAGACACCATTACCAGGCCTCTCGGCCCTGCACCCAAGCTCGAAAATGTGAGCCGCCAGAAACGCCACCGAGACACGGCAACGCGTTGCCCGTGGTCCTCGCCATTGCAGATAATATCCCTATGCCTTGATAAATCAAAAAAAGTCGCTGTGCACACCCCGTACCCATTCGCAACCGTCATCACATGCTGGCCACCTCGGCCGCCCTCCCGTCATCGTCGCCCTTCTCGGTCGGGTCCGACTAGTACTTGGTCGAGTAGCGCGCGGGCGACGGCGAGTACGAGTTGTCGTAGCCGCTGCCCTGTCCGTAGGGGTCGTCGGCGTAGACGGTGGTGCGGCGGTCATCCTCGGGCAGAAGCTCCTTGACCTCCCAGTTGTTCATGCGCGTGCCGACGGAGAACTCGAGGTCCTCGCGCGTGATCGAGTCCCAGTACTTGTACACCATCATGACGCCGAGGAGGTTGCAGATGGTCGCGAAGAAGAGGCCGTCCAGGTAGTGGCTCAAGGCCTGGCAGAGTTGCGTGTTGAAGGCGTACAGGATGACCTGGCCGACAACGAAGAAGAAGACGCCAAACGCGATATCACCCAGAGGCCAGCGGTCCTGCAGAGTGCGAGTCACCAACAGGATCTGCATGACGACGTAGATGAACAGCTGGATGGCGTTAAGCAGGTAGAGCACGACGAAAAGGCCGACCGTGTTGGTGGGGCCGAGGCCTGCCCAGCTCATAAAGGTGGCCAGCGAAACCATAAAGCTAAGGATGAAGGCGAGCAGCGAAGTGATGCGAAGAAGCCAGACAGAGACAGGCGTGCCGTCCTCGTACAGTTGGAAGCCGACAAAACCATTGATGAGGAGACAGGTGATCATTGCGGACGTCAGGCCATTTTGTGCCGAGACAAAGTACGGGAAGGGGTCGGAGGCGGGAGGGATAACGCCGGCGTCGACGCAGAGAGAGACGAAACTGAGGAGCATGTACAGGTAGAAGAACATGAGCACTTCCTTGCGGCCTAGACATGCTGGTTAGCGGTCCGTCCCCAGGTGCTGGCGACGTCAAAGGGGGGGAAAAGACTTACCAACGGCAGTGAACTTGCCCCGGATGTGCAGAATCATGATGACTGTCATGACGAGAGCGACAATGTGCATGGCACTCGCGGCGCCTTCGAATATGATGGTGTTGGCCAACTCGATATTACGGGCGTAGCAGTCAGGCTCGATGCCAACGCCGCCGCGCACTTCTGTCGAGGGCCCGATCGAACCGCATAGCGGCAGTGGTGTGTTGCGACAAATGTCGCTAAAATCGCCAAAGCCCGACATGGCCAAGGTGAAGCGAGAGTTTTCAGCGATTATGCGAACGCCTTGAGACAGTGTTTGGTGTTCAGAGGTCGGTCGACAGCGCTCTTTCTTTGTGGGGATGATTGAGTCGAAATCCAACAATGCAGTGAGAGGCTGCTCGTTGTCGTCGTCGTCGTCGTCGTCGTCGTCGTCGTCGTAGGGGGTCAAATGGGTCGGCTTCGATGTGTTAAGGTTCCAGAGCAGGGTCCCCGCGAGAGGGAGGCCGATGTCTGGGGGAGGAAGCGAGCGTGGATGATGAAACTGCCAGCGAGGGATCGAGACAGATATGCGTCGAAAGATGGAATGCAATCTACACGAGGGATGGATGGCTGGTGGTTTGCGGGAGGGGGGCTGGGCCGGTCCGGGGAGTAGGACTTTTGGTGGGGAAAGAATATGGATCAAGTCGAAGAACGAAAGTATCGATGGTATCGTGATGAAAGGGTTGGAACGAATGACTGCGTCTCCGCACTGGACGACACTGGGGTGGGTGGGCGTTTCGTGGAAACACTGTTGCAGTGCGGCGATGGCGGGTTGCTGGACGACGGGCGTGGCGAGGCAGAGTAGCAGCCGGGCGAGGGCCGGGACCTCAGGGGCAGAGGGGGAAGGCGTTGCTGTGGAAAAGGGAGGCAGCATCTACCCAACACCCGCCATCTCAGCCAATAAGGAGCACTTCGTCCCCTGCCACCTGCCCAGTACCAGCCCCTGCCTCCTGAGTCCTGCCTCCTGCCCCACGCTCGTGTTCGCGCCTTCCAAGCTTTTTTTGCACGCTAGCATCTCGCTAAAACCAAGGCGTCAGTCAACTGCAACGTAGTCTACTTACTGGTCGATTCCCGGTACTAGTGCCTCGATACCTATCTATAAATGCCTTTGACTGGAATCCTGCGATACTATTTACGACGATTGCCGTGAACGCTCTGCCCGACAATACGACCTGTCATTGTTCATTCCTCTTCACATGGATTTGTGATTGAAACAATACTGCAAGCACTGCAATTCAGTACTAACCAGAATGTTTCACGATTCAGCACTGGCCTGCTTGACTACTGCCAGCCGGCGAGACAAGAGTCTGATATTTCTTGTGCAAAGCCAGAGCGTCTCGCTCGGCTCAGCCGTGCTGCCTTTCCAGAATAGACAGTGGAGCTTTTGACCACTACCTTTCGAGCACTCATCTGTTCGCCGTGTGTGGTCTTGAACTACATGTAGACGGGCTGAATGATCATCAATGGGCCCGCAAGGATCGTCAGTACCTGGGCAAGCTGGGTCAGTCAAGCGCGTGAACAGGCAGGCCAGGGCACTCACTACATGAGGTCGGCATGAGACAAACCAGCCTTGGTCTGAACAGGTGTGTCCGGCCACTCTTGGCCGGATGGGTTCAGCAACTTGGCTCCCACCGCATGCACGCCTCTTGATACAGCAGATGCTCGTGATGGCACGCCCGGACTTTCCTCTTTCTCGTCTGCATGGCTTAGAACTGCACGGTAAGGCTTCATGGTGCCAAAATCGTCACTGAGCGTGTATCGAAAACATTCTGAACACTTGATCACTCGAGGTATGTTGAGCTAGTGCCCGAGACAAAGTTGAAGCAGCCAGAAATCGGTTTGTATCAGTTGCATAGGCCGGGCTGCAACATGAGTGCGCCATACGATACTTGTCGAAGTGTCTAGATCTCGCGTATAAGGTCTTGACAATCGTCGTGATTTTAGTACACATCAGTACATGTCTTGCGCGGAGGCTATGGGAGATTGTTACAAGTTTCCCATGACTCTTGACACATGTTCGAATCAATGTCCTGGCGCCGTTTCTCTGCTGGTTGAAAGTCTTCGTGGACAATCCTGGCGAAATTCCTTAGCATGAGGCAACTTATCATTGAGTGACGTTTCAGGCATCTAAGCAGACGTGACACAGCCAAGTGGTTGTCGAGGTTGCATGGCGACTGCCTTTTTCCAAGACTGATGCTAGATAAATTTACTTCCTGTTGTTGGTCGAAACGTCTATGCCCGGCAGAGAGTCGACCTGCAGCGATGAGCATATTTAACATACAATTAAACATGATGGAGATTATTGAGTATTACATCGCCAAGTTTCAAGACACATCAAATGATCCACCCAGTTCTACCAAAAGGGTTACAGCGTTGGTAACACAGTATGGGGGGGAGAGACTCAATTCGATCAGTGCTTTTTTGACACCATCAATCCACTTTCTTGTCTGGACAAATGCTTCCTCTTACTGTCAGGACGATAAAGTCGTCACGATGGCATCACTTGGTACAGTGAGAAGTGCCACGTGCTTCGTGAGGATCCCGTTTCTGAACTTCAAACAGTTTTAGAATCTCATTTGTTTCATGGGTTGCTGCATGTCGATATACCTCGCTTTGAGGACTGTCCAGGGTTGGCTCATCCGGCCGACCTTCCGTCGTTAGCACACAGGAGAGGGGACCTACTGTAATATCATAATGATAGAATGCCTCTGGTTTCTTTTCGAGGGTATGGAAAATACGCTTCAGCCATGATTGAGATTATCCGTTATGTTTCCATGCCAGACGCCTGCAGCGGTCAATCTGTATAATAAATTGATTGTCCTTGTATCGGGAGACCACTGCGGACCACGGAACAGGAGGCTAGTCAGGGGCTAAGAACTACTAGAAGGCGTATATAAGAGCTGCAGAGGGCCCCCGTAGTTGCGGAGGGCCAGAATCCGGATGTATTACAGCCCCATACCTATTATCTATTGCTTGCGGAGCACGTGTGGAAGACCTCTTCACTCTGCTCCAAACCACGCACTGACACCTTGAAACCTCTGAGACGAAAGCAGGAGGCCAGAGCAATACTGTGTTGGTGGCTTGCAAAGAACAGAGGCCTTGTTATACCTATTGCAGCCCAGTGGCAGAAGATGATGGAGAAAAAAAACCACCATGCAGTAGACTGTCGGTGCTTGATTTGGAGCAGACTGAGGAGGCCTTCCACATGTGGTCCGCAGCAATAGGATACAGGTAGGGGGTCGGAATACATCTGAATTCTTGCCATCCGCAGCTCGGAGACCCCTCCGCAGTCCTTGTATGCACGTTCTCGTAGCCCTTAGCCCCTAATAGGGGCCCCTGTTCACACCTGACCCAGACAATATCCCTAGCGGGTTGATCCTTGGAATGTGAACTTGGGAAACGCAGGTGCTGGCTTGAATGATGGAATTGGCGCTATTCAAGTATCACCTCAGTCTGGCTTCGCAAACAAGGTCTCAGACGAGTGATGAATGTCCTCCGTTCTGTCCGTACAGTATGAAGAACAGCTGGACTTCCTAATACTATGAGCCGAGCCTCCGCATCTGCCTTGCGTTAAAAAAGACACTGACTTGACCTGAGCGCTAGCTGTTGAATAAAAGTACAAAGAATCATGTCGGTGTCATTAGCAATGTGTCCTGCCGTAGGCTAAAGGGGATCTGCATCTCCATGTCATCAAAGGGCCTGGAGTTCTAGGTTGATTCCACCAGCTCAACACTATGACACGAGCCTCGTGAGATCTGGTCGTTCACGATAAGCAGCATCTAAGTGTATGACCATGAGCAAACAGCCAACTCATCATGTTTTTGTTTATTGGACACAATATCTGTGGTAAATCGTATAGATGACAACTGAGTTCCTCCAGTTGAATTTGTGCTAAAATCCTTTGGCAGAAAAGGTAGACCTGGCGATGGACATACGCAGGGCTTGGCAAGAGTACCAACAAGCCCGGCCCTGAAATAATAGTAATAACGCAAATAATGACAGCAACCAGTTATCGGTATAACTGCTCAGTTCACTTTCATTCGTGAACCCCCCCTTGATGACTTGTGTTTGCTTCCTATAACCTGCCCGTCAAGACATATGACGCTCCCACCGAGTATCAGCGACAACGAGACAAGAGCACATGATGCAGATCCGAGCTCAACAGGGCTTAAAACATAGCTGTCGGTTTATAATAAGGCAAGCTAGCAACAATCACGCTGTAGGCAGGGATTAGCTGCGTCAGCTCAAGCCAAGTACTCGGCGTTTGACCTCGGCCAGGATATTGGCATCACAATATCGCTGACCGTCTACTCAAACTTTGGCATCACAATTTATTTCTAGTATATTCAGACCTCCACTCTCGACACATGGACCAGGACGTCAGTACCTAGAAGAGTGGTAACGCAAGTCTCCAGATTCAAAGAAGTCACATGATGTGGTTGGAGTGCTATACATGTAGCTCTCAAGAAGCATTGCCGGCTGCCGATGTTCGTCTATGCCCCGGCGCATAGTCGTAGCTGTCAAGAGCTGTTGCGGCATTGAAAGCACCGCTGCCTTGCTAGTTCATCCAGCGTTGTCATACATGAGTGCACTCTTCCGATTTCCTTCTCGGGGTGCCACCAGTTTGTGAGTTGAGAGGCAGTCGTTGAACAAGAATCACGATGAGTCAGCGAAGGCGGTCAGCCGTTGAAGTGGACCATCGTGCTCAACCTCACATACGTCATCTCGAAGCTGGTTGGAGCGGCCTAACTATCAGATCAGCAACAAGTCGTGCCGCCTTCATGCCAACATGCACTCATGATATCGCGGCGAACTGCCTCTGCCGTCTTCACAATCGGGTTGCGAAAGTCGGATGTGATCGAAGAAGCTTCAAGGTCCACGGCTAAATCTACGCCTTGAACCTTTCACCAGTACAGACTGTGTGTGTCAAGGCTACGATTCGCACATGCATTGTGGAGTGCAAGGCAGTTGGCAGAACCTAGTCGGAAACCGTACACTCCGGATACGTCACGGCGGATCGTCTGGCGAGGCAACCCATTGGAGGTTTGGTGCCTGGACCATCATTCTTCGTGGAAATGCTACAGCTACAAGTGTGCCGCGCCGCGGAAGAGCAAGCGAAACCACAGTGGTCTTACTTTGCTACCAAGCGTGAACTTGTCACAGCTGATGAGCCGGGACTGCACCCACCCTCTTATCCCTTTCCATGAAGAATGGAAAGAAATG